AATAAAATCGCACTGTTGCGATTTATAGCAAATTAATTTAGTATAGCTCGATCTTATTTCCTGTTGCTTAATCTAATGTATATCGTTCTTTAATTTATAATTGTTGTTTTGTCACTTTTTTATATCTAAAATTATTCGAATGGTTTCGAAATATTTTGAATGGTTTCGAAATATTTCGATTTATTTTGATATATTGCAATTTATTTTGATGTTTTTTATACTATACTGCGTAATAAATTACATAATATTACATAATATATTCATAATATTTCGAAATATATTTTGTAATATTTCGTAATTTATTTCAAAATATTCTACCTAGGTCGTAATTATTGCGCAATATTTCGGTCTATAATAACTTACGTAAGTTTACGTTTATATATTTTGCTGATATATATTTAGAAGAATAATAGAGCTATATGACTACAGTGAGTATCTAAAGAGTAAAGACAGAAAGGTAGAGTTAACCAAGAGTGTAGCAAAGTCAAGACTCAATAAACAGATTAAAGAAAAACTAATAGAGTATGAGAGTGGAGTAGTCGATTATAGTATAGACAAAGTTAATAGTAAAGAGTCACTATATACACCAATGACTAAGAAAAGTAACACAGAGTCAGATTTGAATATAGAAGACAAGAAGAAGCTCTCTAGCCAAGAATTAAAGAATGATATGACAGAAGAGTTGGTACAAGAACTAGAAAAGATATCAATTGTTATACCTGTGTTAATGAGTATTGAAATTGTAGAAAATACACAAAAGCTTAGTAGAGATGATAAACAAAAAAAAATACTATTAAAAGCAGATACAAATAAAGCAAACCAGGCTAAGCTATTTACACTATGAGATATACCATTGTACGTGTAGTCACAAGCAATAAGGAAATACTTACACTTCTATGGCAAAATAAACATTTTAAAATAGAAGCCACAAGGAAAAAACAAGACAGTTTCTTTTACAATTAAATACCACAATGCAAGATATAAGTTGGTTTTCCAAGCTGTATAGGCAGTATATTTTGTAGAAGAAAAAATATTGAGAGTAATACCTGGTGCTTTCACTAAAGAAATACTAGAGAGTAAAACAAGATTTAAAGTGATAATTAAAAATGTTCCAATATCAACAATAGAAGTACTATTGCTAAGACAGTTAAAAGGAGTAGGTGCAAAAGCGGTTTATATTTCATATAATAATAACTGAAACCAAAGATGCATGGTATCGGTATACTTTAAATCAAGAGAAGAGATTGAATTAGCTCAAAAAAGAAATACCTTTTATTATAACACAAAGCTTAAATAGCTAGGTAAAAGTGATAAAAAGTAGAAAAAGACTGGGAAAAGAAGAAGCAAAGACTCATCAAAAGAGAGATATCCTCTAGATAAAAGAAGAAATTCTAGAAAGCACACTCTAGGCTTAAACAAACTTGAAAAGTAAGAAATAAATAAAGCAGTTAAAGATCAAAAATAGAAGCTCAAAATTGAAACTTAGTTTGAAGTCAAAGAAGAAAGAAGAGCAAACAAGAAGAACCTAAAAGAGATAAGTAATAAAGGATCAATAAGCAATACAAGAGAGATTACAAAAAATATAACAAGTTTTAGTGATTAAATAGTCATTGAAAAACTTGGTGGTATATTAGAAGAAATTATAAAGAGGCTTGATAAGATTGAGAAAAGACAACAAGGAATTAACATCTCCAATCGCTTCTGAAAATTGTCACAGGCATTGTAAAAGAGGAAAGAGGCTGCTCAACATCAAGTTGTATAAGAAAAACCCAGCCTCAAAACAGTAAAGCTAATTCAAAGTCAAGCTTTATAATACAGAAAGAGATGTTAGATTAAATATAGCATGTCACAATATCAATGGAATTAAGGAGAATAAGACAAAGCTTAAAACAATAGATGAGTAGATATCAAAGAATAAAATTAATATATTAGGGCTGATTGAAACAAATACAAATAAGAAAAAATTAAGATTTAGCAAGTTGAGTAATAGCAAAAAAGATTTTTAGACACAAAGCATGATTACAAAAAAGAAAGGTTCAGAAGTTGGGCTGATTGTAGATACAAAAGTGAGAAAAGCATCTTGGACAAGTTATAAGAGTGGAAGAATACATAATAGAAGCTAGATTCTATTTTAGACAAGCTGAAATTATAGTAATAGTAGTATATTTCCCACCAAGTGATAAGAAGTTAGAGAAGATGCTCCAGAAAACAATTGTTACCAAGTATATAGAGAGATCTAGCAAAGCACACTTTATAGTAATAGGTAACTTTAACAAAGTAATGGACCTAGTGCTAGACAAGAAAGGGGGCAATAGACACACAGTACACAAGTTATTGCTACTCCACAAATGGTTTAGAAATCAGGATTTCATGGATATATTTAAAGCACTAAACCCATGTGCAAAAATATATACATGGTCTGGCCAAGGTATCAAATCTCGAATAAACCAGATTTGGATATTAGAAGATCTGGTTTATAGTATAACAAAAACAGAGATCATAGAGGCAAAAGTTATAATAGCAAGTGATCACAGTATCATTACAGCTAATATCATGTTAAAGCATCTTATAAAGATAAGAAATATAGCCAAAACAAGGAAAACTAGAGCAGCCAGAACAGTTTTCCTCTATGATAAAGTGACTAAAGAAAACTAGAATGATTATAAAGAACAGGTTGATAGTTTACTTCTAAGTAGCAATATAGTCAAGCATCCAAGACTTAATAGCTCTAAACAATATATAAATGAGTTGTGGGACACAATTACAAATGCAATTAAGAGAGTAACAAACAAAACAATTTCAAAGAAGCAAGTATACAACCTTGGTATCGAGACTAGATACAGAAGAAAAGAAACAAAAATATATAACAATATAACAAAGCTAAGCAAAGTAATCCAGGTATTTAAAAAGAAAAGTAGTATATATAAGGTTGATGAGGCAGAGATAAAGAAAGTTAATGATATAGTAAAACATATTAACAACACATATATGATGTTATTAGATAAATTAAATAGTAATAACATATTATTGCAGAAATAAATAATAGCAGCAAAGCAGAGTTAAAAAGCAATACATGTACTTGAGAGAGCAGCAGAGAACAGTAGTACTCGTACTGAAATAAGAAAAGCAGTAAACAAAAGGTTTGAAAGAATAGATGGTGATATTGGAAGAATGTTAGCAAGCATATTAGAAAAATCTTACAAAAAGATTAATATCAACAGAGTTCTTGAGCAAACTAGTAGTGAAAGAACATTATATAACAAGCCTGATGAAGTGTTAGAAAAAACCAAAGAATATTTTCAGAGTCAATTCAAAAAGAGAAATATTGAGCTCAAGGCAGAGATTATAAATAAATTTTATAAACTGTTAGATGAAGTAAGTGAGGAATAGTTTAGTTATTTATCAGATAAGATATTAATAGATGAGTGGTCTACTACTTTGAATAAGGCTAGTAACAAAACAGCATCTGGAATGACAAGAATAGGATATGCACTTATTAAAAATATAAGTAGTAAAGCGCAGGAGGTTTTCATAAAGCTCGCAAGCTTGTGCTTAGATAATAGTATAATTCTACAAAAATAAAAGCTGGTACAGATATATCTAATTCCAAAAAATGAAAACTAAGGATATTAGCTAAACAATATCAGGCCAATTGTATTATTTGAAACCTTTGGAAAATGTTTAACACGTGTAGTTATATAGTGAATTGCAAGCATATTAGTAGAAAAAGAAGTGCTCAAAGACCCGAACTTCACCTGGCTGCTCAACAAATAGTACAATTAACTTAGTCGACATGATTATAAAAGATGCTAAAGAAAGTAAAAAAGAGCTATAAGTAATGCTACAAGATATGAAAAAGACCTATGACTCAATGTCAATTAAAACACTCAAGCTTGCATTCACAAGAATAAAGCTACCTATTTAAGTCATTGATTTTATTACAGAGCTGTTTAACAAAAAGCAGATCAAAATAATTATAGCATTTGGATTAACAGAAGAGTTTAAGGCAGGAGATAGTATAGAGCAGAGAGACAATCTTTTTGCTAATATGAAGAATATTTTATAACCTACTGCTATGCAGAATCCAAGATGACCCTGAGTTAGAGTATAAGAAAGAAGGAGAGAAGCTACTAGATATAAGAGAAAACAAAGTTAGAAAGGTGGTGATAAGACAAGCAGCAGTTGCTTTTGCTGATGACATGACATAGTTAGAAGCAAATAAAAAGCAAATAGAGAAAATACTTGAGATTGCCTAATGTTTTTTCAAGTTTAATGATATACAGATAAATAGCCAGAAGTCTAAGCTACTAGTACTAAACTTGTGGTTGAATGAAAAGAAAAAAAGTATTAGAATTGATGGGTGCCCACTTGAAATAGTTGGCATGTTGATTTAACAAGACTTCTTGGGTCTGGCTAAGTACAAAAGTCAATGAGAAATTGGTAGTAAAGAAAGTCAAAAGCATAGTAAGGCACTTTACTAGAACAGTATAAGCCAAGAGCCTTTCAATTAGTCAGCTTATATATATAAACAATATGTGTATTATACCAAAACTCACATATATGTTGCAGACTATCAAGATTTTACATATTGGTCTCACAAGAATCTATTAGCCAATAGTGAAGTTAATCAAATATAAAATTGGACTCCTAGCCACAGCAGGTAACTATCTGATATCACACCCAGGAATAGAAAGATACAAGATGTTGCATTACGAAGTTTTCTCCTGACAACTTGTTAAACTTTAAATACAATTGAATAGTAAAGATCAAGTTGAAAATATTACCAGACTTTATATAGCAGAAGGTTTTTTTTTGGCAGAGCTAGTAGCTAAAAAATAGCAGCTAAAAGATATAAAAATGCTAAAGAAAATCTAGAAACACAATCTGGCAGGCCTAGTCATGGCAAAAGCAAGTAAACAGAGGATAATATTACGAAGAAATAATAAACTATGGCAAATACACAGATACGAACCAACAATATATGAAGTACTAGATAGAAAGACATTTATAAAATACTGTAGTGAGATTAGAAAGTATAATATCTACTACATCAGACAGCTATTTGATCAAAAAGGTTGCAAGTTAATGATATGGAAAAAACTTAAACTACTAAAAGCCAAATCTCAAAAAGGATATAAGTTCAAATAGTTTGAGGAAATTGAAAGGAAGATACTTCAAAATAATGAAAATAGATCAGTTAAAGCTAAATTTCAAATACAAGGTATAAACAATATGTTAATAAAAGTGTAGTTAGAGTGGTTATCTGAAGATAAAAGGAAATATGAATGGGTGCTTGTTAATAAGAAAAATAATGAGACAATAGTTGGTAAAATTAGCAAGAAGCAAAAGACCAAAGTTTTAATTGATCATTGGGTTAACCAGGATAGATTAGAAAATGCTCTGATCCTAGTTAAATGTAGAAGTTGTAAGCTAAACTGCCAAGTGAGTAGTAATGTTTGTCAGTAGTGAGTAAAGAAAAAGCAAGTACTAGAGATCCTATCTTATAGTAATCAAAACAAAACCACTGGTATTAAAAGAAGTAGTAGGATACAAAGTAAATACAAAGAAAATAGTAGTAAGTAGCACAGAAAAAGAAGTTGCAAGTATAGTAATACCTAAAATGTATAAGGAAAGCTTAATCAAACAACAAAGTTTCAATGTAGTACTAGAAAGCAAATTGATTAAACAACTAAAAACAAACCTTAAAGTAGGATCCAAAGAATACCTTTTTTATATATATAGTTCAGTGATTAAGAAATCAACAGAATGCAAAATAGATGCAGGATAGTTGCAAGTAAGCTATGATGAGGAGGATATACTGGTAGAAGGGTATGTTGGGATAAAGTATTAACCATTGTCAACAAAAGCAGAGTTGGTAGTAGTGTGAATGGTATTACTATACTTGCAACTTCTTTTTCTGTGCTACTTACTACTATTTTCTTTGTATTTACTTTGTATCCTACTACTTCTTTTAATACCAGTGGTTTTGTTTTGATTACTATAAGATAGGATCTCTAGTACTTGCTTTTTCTTTACTCACTACTGACAAACATTACTACTCACTTGGCAGTTTAGCTTACAACTTCTACATTTAACTAGGATCAGAGCATTTTCTAATCTATCCTGGTTAACCCAATGATCAATTAAAACTTTGGTCTTTTGCTTCTTGCTAATTTTACCAACTATTGTCTCATTATTTTTCTTATTAACAAGCACCCATTCATATTTCCTTTTATCTTCAGATAACCACTCTAACTACACTTTTATTAACATATTGTTTATACCTTGTATTTGAAATTTAGCTTTAACTGATCTATTTTCATTATTTTGAAGTATCTTCCTTTCAATTTCCTCAAACTATTTGAACTTATATCCTTTTTGAGATTTGGCTTTTAGTAGTTTAAGTTTTTTCCATATCATTAACTTGCAACC